ATGAGTTTTTAGAAAAGGCTCTCAAAGGCCGCTCTTCTAGCTTTCGCTGTGACTGCGCTGCGCCTTTCACGCAGGCCTCGCGTTTTAGACACGCCGTCTCTGCAATCTTCAACATCCCGACCATGGGACAATATCATTAACGAAGCCAACTGATGATTTAAAAACTTGACTTACAAAAGAGAAGCTTCGTCAACTTTGTCTCAGGACTGTATAAGTAAAATGAAACACATGAACGAGATAGTAGATAAAGCTTCTAAATAGTGATCAACAATAAGTTTTAGTTGAAACATATCGCTTCAAAGCAAACGTATCTCTCGCTATTTATTCTCCTTGTTGCGTTCCACCCACCAACGGTGCCTCATAGAGAAGTAAAACGACGCTAATAACAAGTTCTAAGCCTCTGACAGCCTACTTATCCAGTCCTGCTGGTGTGATCTTGCAAACCATCCACTAAACTTCGAAAGTCGTCATGCACTGGAAAAGAAATGCTTCCATCTACTTTTGATGCCGACTTGTTTCCCAGATCGAGGTGCTTGCCACCGTCGTGCGCGCAGTCCGAGGCCGCTGTGAGGTCTACGTGGACGGCGGAGTGCGCAGGGGCACCGACGTCATCAAAGCTCTGGCGCTGGGTGCCCGTGCGGTCTTCGTCGGCAGACCCGTCATCTGGGGACTCGCTTACAACGTGTGTATTCCTTCTTCAATGTAATGTTCTTATGTGCAATGCGTTGCGATACGTACAAGATCTGCCTAGCCACGGCTACTCCTGCGGGAACGCTTACCTGTATGAAGCTTTTGTTTCGATATAATCATGGGAAAGTCACAATAACATCGGTGCACCTACCTTGCTGAAGCTAATGGCAGTCTCTAATATATTGCAATATAATGTCATGAGGTGCATTGCGGGCCATCGGTAAGGATTTATTAATTTTGTCATGTTTGTGACATGCGTTCCAACATTTCTGGGAAGATCTTTCTAAACTAACGAAAGTGTAAATGAATAATTTTAATGTATGTGATGTATGCGTTCTTAGTATTAAATGTCAATTTAAATATATGTCACTAAATATAGGAGACACGCAGACAATTCAGTATTTAAATTGGATTGTTATTGAATGAATGCAGAAACTTCGCAATCAGTGCCGACTTTCTTCAGTGACTAAAAAAAAAAAAACTTGCATTTAGAGCAGTCACATGCAGAGCCGTCAGTAATACATCACATGGCAGTTCATGCTTTAGGTAAGCGTAATTATGAACAACATCTGGGTTGGGAATGCTTCTTTTACAATTTCGGCACAACTCCAATACTGTGCATGCTCATATGCAGAGTCTTTCGGTGCATCAATTTGAGAGCCACATCTGGCTTGCGCTAATAAATTTTCCTAGAATGAAAATGCTGAAGCAGAGCTCACAAAATTGTTATGCTTCTATTCCAAGAGCAGCCTGGGAAATCACAAGAGTTTTCAATGAAGTTTAAAAACATTCAGCTTGCGAGCACATTTTAATTGTGTGACATGTTCCACATTATTAGAGCATTTTATGAGTGATATTGAGAGACAAATGAGTCAAACGTACAGGAGTTGTGCAACAGACAAGCTTCTAGTTTACTCCTCTTTGATGGTGTATGGATCAGCTCGACGCAAGTGGGTGAAAAAAAAACTTTGCGGACGCTTCAGTTTCGCCTTTTATAGTGTAGCACGACCCATGCACATTGGGCCCCATGCAAATTGGGCCCCATGCACATTGACTTCCCAATCACTAGCCTAGCTTCACTCACATAGGCTCCTAAATCACGCCTCAAGAAAAAAAAATGCCTGTGCTAGAAACATTGCCCATCAAATTACTGTAGATTGCCTACAGATAGCGCACTTGTGAAGTACAAACAACGCCATTATTCTTTCTTTTGCTAATTTGTGAAGTACCTGCTGCATGTTCGTAAGTTGTCACGCACACCTTCACAGCTGCACACATTGTTGATGCTGTTAGTGATAATAAGGATTAGTTATGGCGGAGCACTTTCTCACGGTTAAACAGCTTCAACCCCCCCCCCCTCCCAAGTCGTGCAATGCGTATATTTTGACACCTGGTCTGACCCTGCGCTTCTGCCACTCAGTACTACTGACGTTAATGAGACCCATCCCACTGTATGATATTAGCATAGAATTTTTTCAAACTGTTTCAAGTGAAACACCTGCTTGCTTGCAGAATAAATAGGTTTGATTCTCACTTATACCAGCGACTGCTTTATTATTTATTGCATCGGCCTCACATTTTCGCTACCAAAGTACACCATTTTTTTTTCTCTCACTACTAATGACATTTTGTATAAAACAGCATATATTATTCCGGTAAGAGGAAACTTACGGTTGCGTTCACAAGCGAACAAGCCATTTAGTATCATTTGTGCAGTTTTAAAAATTATAACAAACTGAAGACACCAGCATCACATTTCAGGGACGACTTAAAGAAAATCAATATCTCGATAAAGTTGACTAAACAAATCGTGTGAGCCTTTGCAATAACCGTAAGAGCTACGCGCATAGGTCAATTCATTACGTGACGGAAATTTCCATTTAGCGATTGCTTCACTTAAAGATATATGCATTTCTTCATCTATCTTCATGTCAATGCTTCCCCGAATTCAGATCAATAAGACAACCATTATGTTACGGCGAGAATAACGTTACTGGACAGACGCACAATGAACTCAGTAGCGGACAAGATGATGCCCAGCTCACAGAGTATGTCAACCTCGTCTTCCTGCCTTTATTCTTCGTCGCTCTCATCCACCCGTTGCATAAATTCATCCTCTGCATTGAATTCCTTTCACTCCCTAGCAATCTGCAGCTATACGAAACTTCTCAAGCTTCTTCATTCACCACCGCTATTGCTTTTTCCCCAGGGTGAAGAAGGAGTCAAGAAAGTGCTGGATATCTTCAAAACTGAACTTGAGCGAGCGCTCGCACTGATGGGCAAGTTATTCATGGTTTATTACCCTTGATTTTTATGTACATTTTCGCTTGGAACTGACGCCAGCTACTGTCACATTCTACATGGTAGTTAAAATACCTGCTCATTTTCCTTTATGAAGCTCGTTCTTACAAGACCCCTCAGTATATTTCACCGAATAGTCAATACCTGCAATTAGCGCACATCATTCACGCCCAGAAACTAATTAATTTCACCTTCCATGACATGGTGAGCTGTTCCGTTCTCTTTTCCGTTGCCCAGTCACGGTAATTTTAGGTATAATCCAATTTTTTATACTGCTTACTTCGCATTCGTGAATCGCTCGCTTATAGAGTGACATACAAAAATCGAGTCTCTTTTCGAACAACTCCTCTTCAAATAAAGCATATTTTTGGTATCATGAAATCGGAAAGCATCAAGTTGTTTAAAGCGAAAGCGTCAACAGAAAGCCCCATGCAGTAGTCCTATTAAGTATTCACAAGGAAGCGATATGTAAACGTAACCAAAGCTGACGTGTGATTGACAACTAATTGTGAGGTAATACTTCCCAGTGCAAACTAAGAAATATTTCCGCTGTTTAAGCATTACATGAAATGTGCAGACACAGTCACCTTGTCTAGAGCGATAAAGCACTTGCCCGTGACCGTTTTTATTTCCCGTGGATGCTACCTCACGTTAGCTGGAAGCTTTCAGTGGTGCTTTAATTACAGCACAAGGACCGAGCATGCAGTACGGTTATTTTAGGTAACGTTACGGCCTCCACCTTTGCTTATATCTACAGACAACTGCAGATGAACCGGCCAGCTCAGTTCTCATATAGACAAATCCGACTCCGTCTGTACAGATGCTCATTGCGTGTAGACCAGGGACCCACAACTTTTTGAGGCGAAAGACCGAGCTACATGGAGCCGAAACGACAGGAGTCACACAACAAAGCGGGAAGGGGGAGCTTTGCAGGAAATTGATTTATATGTGGGGTTTAACGTCCCGAAACCACCATATGATTATGAGAGACGCCGTTGTGGGGGGCTCCAGAAATTTCGACCACCTGGGGTTCTTTGACGTGCACCGAAATCTGAGCACACGGGACTACAGCATTTCTGCCTCCATCGGAAATGCAGCCGCCGAAGCCGGGATTTGAGCCCACGACCTGCGGGTCAGCAACGGAGTACCTTAGCCACTAGACCACCGTGGCGGGGCAGCTTTTCAGGAAAACAGCGAAAAGCAGGCGTAGTGAAAAAATGCAGAACATCGGAATATAAATATAGAGTTGCCCCGCCGCGGTGGTCTAGTGGCTAAGGTACTCGGCTGCTGACCCGCAGGTCGCGGGATCGAATCCCAGCTGTGGCGGCTGCATTTCCGATGGAGGCGGAAATGTTGTAGGCCCGTATGTTCAGATTTGGGTGCACGTTAAAGAACCCCAGGTGGTCAAAATTTCCGGAGCCCTCCAATACGGCGTCTCTAATAATCATATGGTGGTTTTGGGACGTTAAACCCCACATATAAATCAATAAATATAGAGAGGATGTTTCATTCAGCGCGCACGTCACGTTGCGATTTCCAAATAACTTAGAAGTGGTGGCCTCCTTTGAGGTCAAAACTTCTGTGTCGGCCTTCAAGTAAGAAGGGGCAAAAGGAGAGAAACAAAGCTCTGATATCAAGCCATGGTCCACCTAATACTGCCCAGCGGACAGCAGATGCCTATCAGCAAAAAGACGGCAGCACTATTTCATTTTTTGACGCGCCGTATTGTGAAGCGAGGCTTCTTTCAGCGAAATTATCTTTCGCAAGTACAGAAACGGCAAAATATTCAGACGAACAACTAGTGACATGCAACGCTTGTGCCACTCTTTTGTAAGAGACCCCACCTTGACTGGCATTGTTAGTGACTTAATGGTTTTCTGTTTCGTGTGCCGTTTTTAGGATGTGCCTCGCTCAGCGACATCAAAGCAGGCATGGTGATTCACCACGACAGTCTCAAGAATCTACTGAGCACTGAATTGGGGTCACTTCAAGAAGGCCCGAGTACCTGATTTCCAGCTTTTCCCATTTAATTTACGCGGATTGCAAGTGACACACACACTGCTTTTGCTTTAGTTTTTTTTTTCCTATGGTCAGACATGGTACCCTTTATCTCACCACAAGATTATGTGAGTGCATGATTCTGTGCATGTTTTGTGTTCAGATGGCTGTTTCCTTAAGCATGACTTTTGCAACGTTTGTGATAAACTGAAAAATTTAAGAATCATATTACTTTGTATGATATTTTCGACAGCCTGCTCCATATTTTTCTATTATTCCGCCATACGTACTGCAATAACTGTCCTTATGTGCCCACTAGGGTAAACTTCGTCGTCTTATGTGTTAGAAAAGTACTCACCACTCATCTTTCAAGCAGAAGGCGCACCACACAAACATGCCTAACTTGCAGGTGCGGTTTCTGATGACTTTTTCTGATACCTTCGTAATTAGTGAGCATTTATACCGCCCATACTCGCTGCACAGTTCACATGGTTTGACACCCATACACCACGGACTGAGTAGTTCATGTACGTACCACCGCTAATGACAATGATCCGCAGCAATCAACCACGCTTTACGAATCGTACCATCATTTGATCTGGCCGTGAGCGTCTCCAAGGTGGTCGCCAAACCCGACGCAGCGCCACAGTGACACCAAAACGCCCATCGCTAAGTTTACTCATAGCTCTACTAGAACAAAAACTTGGGCGAGCTGTTGGTACATCATACGTCTTCTTCACATTTACTGAAAACTGAAAATTGAAACTTTACAGTGTCACTTATGCATTCGCTATGAAGACTCACCGGCGAGAAGCATTCGAGGTGGCTACTTTATCTTAAACGCTCTAACGCGTGAATGGTGCTTTTTTACAGCCAGGCTGTCTACATGAGATGTAGGCAGAAGTAATTTGGAGAGTGGGGTGCACTATGGTTTCGGGGCAACCTGAAATAGTCCTTTTTCGATCCCTATGCTATGGCAAAAAGTAGTTTCGGGATAGAGGGGAGTGGGGACATTGTCTCGGTGTGCACCCCCCGCTGCTGTGTATAAGTAGCCGAAGCTGTTATAAGCTCAAGAACGTTCTCGGCGTATCTGTCGTAGACATTGGGCACACCCTAGTATTTACTACTGGTCCACTAACAATGGAGAAGAGAAGAGACGGGCGACGAGCACCATTTGAGGTTTCTGGACGGACGTTACTAACGATTTAGAAACACCTTATCGTCCCCTTTAACACACTGTTGAACACCGGGGCCACACGTTCCAGCTTCTGTAGTTAACAATCTGTACGGAGTGCTTGAAAGGCGATTTTGTCAAGCGGCTAATCTGTGCAGTTGGGGGAGTTCAAAAAAAAAAAATGGCAGCATATCCACGGAGTGAATGATGGAGAGTGGGGCAAAGAATTCGTCCGTCCATTCGTTCTTGCTTGCGTCCGTCCATGTGTGCGTCAGTGTGACCGTCCATGCGTCCATCAGTCCGTCCGTGCGTGCGTCTGTTCGTGCGTCTGTCCCTGCGTTCATCTATGCAGCCGCCCCTGCGTCCGTTCATGCGTCCATCCATGCATCTATGTGTCCGTTCGTCCATCTATTCAACGCTTCAAGTACCACCATCTCGCTTCTTTTCATCATATATTCCCCATATAGAAGCACCGCCATCCAGCGGACATTCCAAGGGCTAAACGAGAGGTGGCACACGCATACTTTCTTACGGCTTGCGCTTCGGGTCCACTTCCCACCTTTAACCACCTCGAGTTCATGGTATATACTAGTTCACTCTATTCATGGCACTGCGGCCGAACGCTCACTAAACCTTTCGAAAACCAAGGAGGTTACGCCCAGCGAGTATGACGTAACAAACTTTTTCTGTCAGATAGTGCTCAATGTACATGCCAATGGCTGCTAATGGGAAATGAGAGGCGGAGAATTCGGCTTTTACTTTTTTACGGCTTGCGCTTCGTACCTACTTCCCATTTTTAACCACCTCGAGTTCATTCATGGTATATACAAGTTCATTGTATTCATGGCATTGCGGCTCAACGCTCGCTAAACCTTTCTATAGCTAAGGAGGTTACACCCAGCGAGTATAACGTAGCAACCCTTTCTTGTCGGATAGTGCTCAGTGTACATGCCAATGGCTGCTAATGGTGATCGCAGCCTGCGCATTAACTAACAGCCGAATGCTCCTGTCTCTCACTCCCCATTAGCAGCCATTGACATGTACATTGAGCACTATTTTTTATTGTTCAACAACGCACAGAAGAAGTCTCTCACCGGCACCACCTTGGACGTCAAAATGTTATACTTGTTACATACTACGGGGGACGAACGGGTGCCGCTATAAGGAGCTTCGCCCCTAAAAAGTCCTCACCCACAGCTGGTCAACGCGCGCGCCATGAAATGTATCAAAGACAAAATGAATTTTCGCTCCGTGGCTAGGGTTTCAACCCAAGTACCAAGTACTCTGGCCAGAAAGCGACTGCCATGGTGCAAAACCTAACCCCATTCTTTCCCTGGTTCACTAAATTGAAGCATGCTAATGCGTTCCACAAACGATGCAAAAAAAATATTAATAGGAAGAAGTACACTCGCTTATGGCGCTTCATTACAATATTTAGTATTGACAGAATATAAAAGTGATTTGCTAGACAATGCGTAAGCTCAATTTCGGGAATAATAAATTTCATGAAAATTTCTACTCCGAGAACGTTGATTATCCTAACTCTGTTTCCATAATCGCATGATTACACTTTTGTTGTCCCACTCTAGAAGCTAAAAGAAGCGTTTGTACAGGCTTACAAGCGCTGGAAAGAGCGTGAGATACGGCATGCCTATTCTTCTTGAAGAGAGTTCCGGGGTTACCACTACGTAGAAAGAAAGAGAGAAACAAAAAAAAACAAAGGAAAAAGAAACAAAGAAAAAAAGAAGATTGGCGTCAGGCACACCAAAGCCAACACTCGTTTGCCCTCCTTTCCACGATTGGGGAAGTGCTGCTGAATGCTGTTTTTTTTTTTACATCAAAGCATTTGTGCAGCCCATCCTCTGCGGCTTATCCTATGTGACGTTGAGGTATATGTACCAAGTTATTTGGGTAAGTACACCACTCCTATTCACCACTAGTCCATTAAAAAATGAGAAAGGGACAGATAGCCCAAACAGCGGGTATAGCCACAGAATTGTGAGCGGCCTGTCCGAAAACTGTCATCATGATAAGCGGATATGTGTCACAGAAAATGGATAAGTCCTAAATCTGTCAGACGCGCGAGCGCTTGTTTTCAGCACGATTGTCAGTGTCTGGGGCTTGGGCACGTGCCATGTCTGCGGGTTCCTGCTTTCAGAGCTCACAGCTCGGTTCTGAGTAAAAAGGTGTTCTCCTGTCCTGTGTGTGCTTGTTCAGCTAGCCCAGGAACCCGAATAAAGGAGGTTCTTGCTTCCTTCCTCTTTCACAAGGTAGGATAGAGGCGCAAAAGCTATAGGTAATGTGCACATGGTCGTGCAGAACTGCTCCGACGGCTATGCAAAGCAGGAACTGGGCAGGCCCTTCTGCCAAGCACAGCAAGTGCAAACGTAAAATGAAAACTCTGTTCGGTGAAGTGGAGCACGTGAAACACGCGAAATAAAAAGATGGGAAGGAAAGAGAGAACTAAATAGAGAGAAATGCATTTAAAAAAAGAGAGAAGCAGAGAGCCATAGCAAGAAAACAGAAACTGAGAACAGGGAGATGAGAATACGGGAATAAAGACGAAAAATAGAAGGTCAAAAAAGGCATTAAGAGGGAGAGAAAGGGAAAACAGACACAAAAGAACGGTCGAAAAAAGCTGAGAGCAAGGCAGAAGGAAAAAGATAACTATAGGGCTTCCAGATAACAACGAACAGCCGAGCTATAGTTGTTCTTGATTCGTAACAACTTGAATGGTACAGTGCAAAATACGAGACGACAGATGAAGAAGCACACCGCGCTGTCCTCATGTTCTTTTGTTTTTTCGTTTTTCGTCTCGTATTTTGTGCTGTACTATTAAGGCAGTTATGGCAAAATGATTATTGATACGTGGGGTTTAACGTCCCAAAACCACCATATGATTATGAGAGACACCGTAGTGGAGGGCTCCGGAAATTTAGACTACCTGGGGTTCTTTAACGTGCACCCAAGTCTGAGCACACGGACCTACAACATTCCCGCCTCCATCGGAAATGCAGCTGCCGCAGCCGAGATTAGGTCCCGCGACTTGCGGGACAGCAGCCGAGTACCATAGCCACTAGACCACCGCGGCGGAGCATGACAAAATGAGAGAAACAGAGAAAGAGAGAGAAAGAAAAAAGAAAAGAGGAAGCGGTAACTATAGATATACAGAGAGAAAACGAAAAATGCTGAGAAAGAAATGTGAAGAAACATAAAAAAACAAATAATGCAGCAGAGAGAAAAATACAAAACAAAAGAAAGAACAAGAGGAACAAGGGCACCAAGGCTCCGCCCTTCTTTCAGGCTTGACATCTCTAGTGCGAAGCTGCAATAATGTTTTTGTACTCGCTGACACTTATATGCAAAAAGATCACGGCCAAAAAAAAAAAAAAGAATGTTACGCAAGCGCTTTCTATAGAAGTTAATGAACAGCATGCTGGCACAACCATGTTATCACAAAGCCCCCAACGTACTCATTACGCCGGTACAATCTCTGTGCGGGGAAGTAGCTACGTCACCACGCTGTTATGACGTCACCTAGGATGCCTCTAAGCTACTGCGAAACCGCATAATCGCGGTGCTGACAAAGCTATTCCAGGCTGTGGCGCGCACGTTTCCGCAATGGTGAAATGCAACAACGTCAATTTACCTCGTACAATAATGTTGATCACCGAGTGGTGAGAATTTATGCCGAGTCCACTGCAAGTTATACTGTGCCAAAACATTTTGGCTTAAGGTTTAGCAAGTTGCCGATTCTTCCTCACAGGTCCGCTGCGATGGTGCAGTGGTTACTATACCCACCTGCTGACCCGAGGTGCACGAGTTTTATTCCGACCG